ACGTTTAGAGTTGGCCGTTAACAAGAATAATAACTGCCATGCAGATTAGGATAATTTAAACAATTTTCGATATAATTGAAATTGGGGTGGGATTTTTTTAAAGTGAAAAAGCTCAATTACCTAACTTTCAGCTGTCGGTCACCAAGCAATAACGTTAATGGAAACGTAGTATCTATAGGTGTTCATGAATTATTTACCAAAAAATCATTACAATGCTGCATTAAAATACTAATTAGTAAATATCTACCAATAAAATTAATTTCTGGTTATATTGACTAATTGCGTCGAGGAGCAGGACCACTGTGCAATAAATTTGCTACAATAATTAAATTTAGACCAACAAATATAATTCAAACAGATTAATTTTTATGCAACGTGGTTTGATTAAAAGCAACTGTTTTTCACATATGCAATTTAACGTTTGCAGATAACTGCACTTTCTCAACATTATAAAACACGTAAATATCTACAGTATTGGAAAACAAGTACACGCTAGGAAGTAATAAATCACAAAGCGGTTTAAAGTCTGGATCGGAGGCACATTCTACAAAAACTATTTGCGTTCTCTATTGTTTGCCGTCACAGCTTTGACAATGTAGGATACCCGAGAAATAAAAAGGATCTGAACAAATGCATCTTTGTCGCTTTATTCGTTTTGGCTCGTACAGATAACACTTCGCGTATTTCGATACGGATTCTGTCATGAATCAACCTGATTTTGGTAAGCTACTTTTTCTGTACTTTCGTTATTGGAAATACCAGATGTAAGCAACAGTGTTCATACGCATTTGTTTTTAAATAAATTTAATTGTGTCGCAATGAATGCTATTTTACATGTGACCAATTTAAACAGTGTTATAGATTGTAAAGCATCAATTTCAAAGATGGAAATTTTACATAAATTGTTATGTAAATGTAATGCTGTCTTAAAGGCTTATCAATAATCAAGTGGCTAAATTCTCTTTGTATATAGCCAATCAAATAGGAGCAAAAGAAAAGCGAAAAGAGGAACAAACTGAAAATCAATCTCAACAAATTAACTTGGAAAGATATATTATCAGATTGTTCCTGTTTAGGTCAATTGAATTACTGTATCGTTCGTATATTTTTATTGCTAATGTGAAGCCATAACAACAGCAGTATTTAAAAGGTAGCATTTTTGATTGATATTGTAGCAAAAATTATCTATATATAAGCCACACAAAGATCGTCTCTGAAAACTGTTGTGGTAAAAAATGAAAAAATGTAATACTTGTTTAGGGAGCGCACTTTTATCAATCAGACCTTCAAACTGATCAATTGATAATCTCTATGACTTTCTGAAAATTAAAAAAAAAATACTTTGCCATAACTTGTTATGGCATATAATTATATTGATCTGCAGAAATAAGAAAAGTAAAAATAAATAAACCAACTTTTGAGACAAAGAACAAAATGATGCTATTTGCCATTGAAATGGCATATATTAATTTTTCAACATAAACAGAACAGTATGCTTATTAAATATTTCATGACGCTCCATAAATAGCTTTTTTAACGTATCAGCATACTCCGGTTGTTGTCGAATAAAGCAATTAATGTTCGTATGTTTGTCCAATTAATCGTCCTTATACCTCGTATTATTTGCTCGACCCCAAATGAAATTGTGCCAAAGGAGCATAAATAAAAGTGGATGTCAGACTAATTTAAACAACAAGCGTTCTAAATTGTTTTTCTTGTTATCCGGAAAAGTCAGCTAATAACTGCCCCAAAACCTCGTCTGCGTTTAGTACAAAATATCGTCCTAGTAATATTATGGCATGTTGAAGTATAATTTCCATCAAAATCAATGTATACTCGCATAATAAAAACATAACATGCTAATTAATTTTTACAGCGAAAAATCATTAGCCGCGCTGATGACAGATTATCGGAGCTTTTAAACTCTCTGATGGGGACGCCGGGTCTATTTTTCAATATATTATACAAAAAGAAATTTAAAAAAGTCTGGCAGCTTTGTGACTTTAGTGTGAAAAATTATGAAGAAATATAACAAGTAAGTACACGTAATAAGTGCCATCATTTATATTTGCACACAATGCGAATCCTAACAATGTATAAACAGTTATATCCCCATCTTACTGGAATAATTCTGCGAATATATAAAAAATAAACTAAATTAATTGAGTTATTCTTATTTCCAAGAGAATTATTTTACTAAATTAATTTTAAGTGTTATAATTGTAAATTTTGTTGCATATTTATTGAAACAACCGAAAGCTGGGAAAAAATAAGGAATAAAACAAGAAAACGGGTTATTCACTCAAGGAATGTGATTTTTCACGTGCGAAATATTATAATACACTATCTGTAATAAAAGATAAATTGCACACAATCACATCCATTCTTGCGCTACACCCAATGCAAAATAAATCATAGTTTTATCTATTTATTTTCAACTACATTTAGTATTTTCTAAAAATTCTGATAAGACTTTCCAGTTTTAAATTTAGTTTAGAGAGAAACGAAACTGATGGCTATTGCAATACATGAAATCAAGCGATTTTACATTGAATAAAGCATATGTGATAAAAAAGCATTTTATTTAGACGAAGTTTGCAAACTTTTTTTAAACTTTTGATCAAAAACGTGGAAGCCGTTCCAAACACTTCCAAATATTTCTTTTATGTTTTATCGAATGTTTATAAAATTTGCCGCTTACTGAATCTTAATGGAAAAAAATTGTTAAATTAAAGTTAGGTCGAACAAAAGAACGCTGGCCTTTCCATTTTGTGGACGCATCTAAAATAGCTTTAGAAAAAACTCCCTGCCATTTATAAAATTTAGAAACTAGCTATTGAACTTAAGTAGATGTTTTGATGAAAATGTATTTAATCTAAAGGTACAGCGGCACAGTTATTTCACGAAATGTAATTTCAAGCATAAAATTGGCGAAACTTAAGTCAACTTCGAGTATCCCTGAAACGAAGAAAAATAGTAAGTCGTCATTTGAGATAAAATGTTTTACGTCATCTTTCGACGTCAACCAACTCTTCCATTGATTTTAAAATAAGAAAAATACTGCCTTTGGAAATTTATGCTTTTCAATTATGCGAAAATTCGACTGATTGACTAAATAAAAACTGCTGCAGTTTCAACTTTAGAAACATTTGCAACCAGTGGTTTCAATAGTAGTATCTCCTTAGGAAAATCCCTATAAAAGTGCGTAATTATGACAACGGAATATTGCGGTTTTTTCAGGTAGAAATTTGACTGTGCTGAGTAAAAATGCAAAGTGCAAAGTGTGCAAACGAAAGTCGAGCTTATTTCATGCGTTAAAACTAAAAAAGCCCTTTTAATAATTCCGGGTCAAAAAACTTTTCAGGTGAACATTAATAAATATATAATATTGCTTTAGTAACGAATCACTATACTTAATGGAACTCTGTTAGTAAGAAATCATGTGGTTACCTGCTAGTTTCGTCGTTTTTCCGATATGGCAATATATTATTTTAAACCGTAATTTCCAGCACCATGTATTTTACATTCGAACTTTCGACTGGTTGTAAGTCATCACAGGTTGATATGCCAATATACAGGGTGTTCCACCGGGAACCGCCGCGATTGGTATCTAGCAAACTGTAATTAGGAGAAATTTGAAAATTGGAGAGTGTGCCGAAGTCATTCAGGGCAAGCGGCCTAAAAAATGTTCAAGATGGCCACACTTCCCGTTATACCGGAAGCAGGTATCAACTTGCTTATTTTAAATGGAACAGCCTATATATTATTACATTTTTGAATTCTACTCCAAATTCTAAATATTTCGCGTGTATAATATCCTATACCTAACTTTTTTGATATATTTGACATTTTATGTAAAAAATTACGGTTGTAGCCACTAGAAGAATTATTCATTTTTTCAATAAGGGACGTTAGTCATACTTAATTTGAGTCGCATTTCTTGTTGAACAGCACTTACTTTAATGGAATTTCGACAACGAATTTGGTTTTCTCAACGCCATTTGAAACTAATTGTTTTTAACGCTTTGTATCAATAGTTATCAAAATTTTGTCGAAATTCCATTAAAGTAAGTCCTGTTCAACAATAAGTGCGACTGAAATTAAGTAGAACATATTCCCTTATAATAAAAATTAATAATTATTCGAGTGGTAGCAACTGTCATGTTTTTACATAAAATTTCAAATATGTATATCAAAAACGCTTAGACTTAGCTATAAGATATCAACCCGAAATTTATTTAGAATTTGGAGTAGAATTCAAAAATCTACTAATGTATAGGCTGTTCCATTTAAAATAAGCAAGGTAATACCTACTTCCGGTATAAGCGGAAGGATAGCGATTTTCAAAAAAAATCAGATCGCTTGCCCCCAAATACTTCCACACACAGACCAATTTACAAATATCGCCTAATCATAGTTTGCCCGATATCGAACGCATCGGTTACCGGTGGACCACCCTGTATAATCTTCAGAGTTGCACGGCCGTTATGAGGCAAAGAGGCATTTCCAATTCCAGCGAATTTTAAGTGTTTTCCGCCGTAGCCAATGTTCTAATTTGTTCTATTATTCTTCCATCTCTAAGCGTATTACACCGATCAAAAGTAGTAAGACGGTGGGAAACAAAAACGTCGCCAATAAAGTTTTCTAAATGTAAACATTTATTCCCAATTCCTTCTGTTAAAGTTTTTCACCTTTAATGCAAAGTGCATTTACATTTCAAATTATAGGTAGTCCGTTTCCCGATCTTATGGAGCTGAACTTTTGTTGGAAACTCTAAACTTCGTCGAAAGTTTTCCAGGCTTTCTTATTTACATTCTTTGTAACGAAATGTCTACTGGTTTTCGAAGCTCGTAAAACAACGATCTTCATAATGGTAAGAGATGAATAAGAGTTTGTATGGGGTTTTCGAACATGATTTTGAAGCTGAATTGCGTTATAATTGGACCGCAGTAATTTCAAGATGTTTATCATTTCACTAAAATCACTATCAATAAACGTACCTGAATTGGGTTCGCTTTTGCTATTCGGCCTGGCTGATGGTGCACCATCTCGAGCTTCCACTTCTAATGCGTAGGCTCCCTGCTTTTCTCTGTCAAACACTACTTTCGTGAACACTTCACCCGTTTCTTTGTTGATCTCGAAAAAGTCCTTTCCTTCATTTCTCGGAGAGTCCACAATAAAATAATACACCTGCAAAGAAAGTATATGTAATTACTAACTTTTATCTTAAACTTAAAGTAGTTAACAATATATTTAAAACCATTTGGCGCAAAAGTTGGCATCATTTTATAAATAGAAACTTTCCAATTCGTAATTACATCAACAATATATTGCCGAAATACATAAATAAAAATACTACTCTCAGATCCAATCTATATATGAACTCTAAAATGCATAACATTCTGCTTTATTGAAATAATAGTAAAATATCTAGTCGATTATTCCCAGCCGCAATAATATTTGTATTTGCAAAATGCCATTTGAACAATTTTGCTGCAGTAAACTGTTCGAGACGAACCAAGAACTTTTACGGTCCAGCTTAAGGCTATATATTTTAAGTGCCGGAACAGATGCTGACGAGCTAATAAGCCAGTCAAAATATCTTACGAGGATTTTAAAACCGTGAACTTCAGAGGAAAGCGAAAAGGATAAATATAAAATTAGACTAATTAAACTGGCATTTTAAGTAGCAAATTATTCGTCAAAAGATACGACCGATCTTCAAACGTTTTATTGGGATACTCAAAGAAATGAAAATAGAGTAAGTATATAGATTGCCGTATTCCGGTCAATGCTAATTTAGTTATTTTCTTGTCTGATATTGTTACTGTTATTACCCGTAAATAGTAGACAAACGCCAAAAAAATTCAAGCTTGTTTCTAAAGCATGACGCCAAATGTAGGACAAAGGAAACGACTAAAGTAACAGAAAAAAAGACAAACATATTAGACAAAAAAAATTAACCATAGTCTGGGCTCTCGGAAAAAATGTATTATCATTTCGTAAATATTTTCCAGAAAAAGAAAGCAGTGGGACAAAAATGGTGTTGACTGGTGTTGCACGAACTGCTAAAATATTTATTTGCCTTTTGCATTTTCAAACTTACAATGGGTTTAAAAGAAAATGAAACCCTACAGTAAGAAGAATATTTCCAATTTCAATAAAAAAATCTATATCAGACAAATACTATACATATTAATTTAATATGCTTTGTCGTTTAGGAAATAGGAATAGATATCAATAAAAAAATTAAAACACTGTTATTTACAAAGCTACTTCTTATGGAAAAAAAATAAGGTTACATGTAAGGAGTTAGCGTAAGACGTATTAGATTTTTTAAGTATTAAAATAAGTTTGTTTAAAAAATGTATGTAAGCAATCACGTATTTCCAAAATTATTTATATTATGAAAACGTGATCACATTAATGAGTAACGTTTCTAATTCAGTTATTGTATTTTGCTAAATACTACGTACAAATGTACATAACTGCACAACTTGCTGCACTGAGGAACTCGTATTTAATACCTGCAAATGCAGATTTGATTATTTGTAATTATAATATTACAAAAATCAATGAAAATTATTTTAAAAGTGAAACAGAAAGAAAAATGCAGTAATTTGACGAAAAGAAAAATAATGACTACGAAGAACCTGAAATCCACATATTGCTCTTTTTCCGCTATTACTTAGATCGCATGTTTCAGTACCAAATATTGTATTAAAAAATCCTGCAGAAATGCAAAAAATTAACAAGGGTTTATGAGCGAAAAAAGTTTCAATCTTATGGACATTTAAAAATAAATCTACAAAAATCAAGCCATGACTTAGTAAAATTCAAATTAAAGACAGCTAATCCAGTTTTTCTGTCAGCAAAAGTTTTAATCGCCGAAATATGCATAATGGAGCGGTAGCAAATCCACTTAAGATCCAGGAAATTCAGTTTAAAGAGCGTTAAAATGTTGGTGTTTGGTGCGCTTTAATTGAAAGTGGGGTTTGAACCCGATTTATTTATTTTCCAAAGATTCTTAATTGAGCCACGACATTCACGGTGGAATATTTACCAATTGCAGTGATAATATATGTTATGCAGCAGAGAAAACTCGTTAAATACATCTTAAATTTATTATTATTTAAACAATTATTAACGTCTCCCGTTCTCAATCTTAATTTTTCAAGTACAATCATTTCATTATTATTTACATAGGCGATAATTTATCGAGTTCCCACTTTTCCAAATACCGAGTTGCCAAGATTGTCATAAAATTGCCGTGGTTTAATAATTTTTGCTTGTAATTAAAAAGATGCCTGTATATGGATTTGTGACCTGATATGCTGAGTGTATTACCCCATTATTGGGTATTTTAGTTAATTCAAGATGAAACGGAAGTCATAAAATTTGAACTAAAAAAATTAGAAAAAAAACGATCAGTGGCTTATTGCGTGTAATAAATCATCAAAAGCCCGCTAAAGATACACTTAATTCTGCAATGTACATAAAATACAGGAGGTTTCAATTCTTAGAATTCAATTTTAACTTTTAAATACATATTCTAAACCCAAAAATATTATGAAAGTGTCTTATATAGTGTAGTTCCAAAACATCGTCTAACGAAGCGGTTACGCTCTTAAAAGTGCAATCATTTAACTATTCTTGATTTTTTACTGATTTGATAGTGACCAAAACTAAGAAAACTTTTTAACTTAACTTCCTATACCGGAGACAACCCGTTTACGGAATAGTAGGTAGAAGAGATGCGAGGGTCACTTAATTTTTAGAAAGTAGCTTTTAAGTCTCCCCAGAAATGATTTCTAAAACTTGTTGTAGGACGCAGAATATCTCTTCAAAATGTAGCGCAGCAAAATAATTAAGATTATTTAAAAAGTTGGCCGATTTCGTCTTGCATATGCATTGGTAATTTGAAATCACTCGAAAACTATTGACCATCTGAAAAAGTATCAAGATGCACTTATCTACTTAAACACTATTTAGCTGAGGGAACAGTTTACAATGATTCCTGAAAGTTACCTTTTAGAAAAATTCCAGACAGTTTTTAAACGACCCCGGTATGTTTTCCTATAAAATTTGTAAAGGATTTAATAAGCATGTTATATTTACACGTAATCTTGAGAATCATCCTTTCATCTGTCGTCATTCAGGAATTACATGATAAATACTTCGAAAAAAGAGTGCACAAGAAACGTTAACTCCGCTAATTTACACTTTTGTGCCATAGTGTATACGACATTTTCGTAATGTTTTCGAACATGCCATGAAAGTCTATGAGAATAAAACTTACCTAACCCGCTTGTACATTTTCGATGCTAATACAAGAAACGCGGCACATTTACAACAATTATCGAGTACTTACTGGAATGCAATGACTAAATAAGGGTAATTTTTCGGAGCCACAAACAAACAGCCACGAAAATTCTGAAGCAAAATGTTTACATTAGAGCAAGCAACGCGGTCACAGGGCGGCGAAATGCAGAAAAACAGGTTTAATGTAAACAACTTGAGCCATGTAATTAAAATTTAGTAGATCGAAACTAAGCAGCCATTCGGAAATGCAATTTTCAACAGTACGCAAAAATTATATTCTAATTTAATATTTCACTAAAAAATTTAAGTCATGGTGGACAAAATAAAAATTAAATGTAATTTTGGCAATTGCGATTTGAGGCCCAATTATTCACGTCAAACAATTAAGCTTGAAGATAAAATGCACAGTTCATAGAGGTGCGGATATGCAACAGCATTTCCAGACGTAAAGTTTAGAGCTCCAGTAAATAATAAGTTTCCATTTAATTTAAAGCTGATTAAACATAAGTAGCAGTTACGCCAGCATAAAATTTTAATTTGAAAACTTATCTAACAGGTAAAAGCGCTAAATTGTTATTAGCAACCCTTGTACAAGCTTTCGGAAATTTAAAATTCATTTCTCCCTAGTTTATGAGATGTTAGACCTGTAATACGCATTAAAATTTATTAACACTCAGCCTCTTCGGTGCATATACATAGTTCCTGAACAAGTATTTTAAGAATACTTCTAAGCATAGTATATTACCTTAACTAACAATTTTCATCATACAACAATGACAGGTCCAAAATAAATTGTAAGTTAAACTATTGAATTTTTGTATGCTAAGACAAACAAATTCCTCGCCAAAAGCAACTTTTCGAAAAATCGCCGTCAACATCAAAAGATATCGTGCAGGCATAGTTCTGAAAGAGCTTCCCAGTTAGTTTATTAACTTAAAGAATCTAGCCCGAAAACCTAATAACAGTTTTTAAAGTTTTATTTTAGTTCCGGGATAAAGAATTCGAGGTGTAGAATTTCAAATTAAATTCACTCTAGATAAATTAACAGGGATTTCGTTGTGCTGTGAAAGTGCTTTAATTTTAATTTAATAATAATAAGTCGGCAACTGCCATGCTCAAAATCGGAAGCCACTATTAAAATGAATTTTGCGGGATAGAAAAAATGTATAGAGGCTTAAACGGATTTAATATTTCTTAAGCATACGAAGAATTCAAATTTTAGATATGCTTTATTATTTCCTGGGTTGAACGTTACGCAGAAAAAATTAGATGATGCTATTAGGCTTTACTCATAGGGATCTCAGGAATCAATTGAGCGAGTCCACTCACTTCTACACGGTTCCTCGAGCACCAAATAGGAAATTTACGAAGTGAAGCCCAACTTGGGACATATTGAAGTCACTATTAGTTTTGCGCGGTTATTTAGTTTTTTGTATTATTATAATTATTTTTCAAATTCCTTGTAATTTAAATAAAAAAATATCTTCATTTTTTTTACTACGAGAAGCCGTTRGGATTCTTAACCYAGATTTGTGGTAGCTGGGCCAATTTGGACACATTTAAATGTCAATGGGAACCATMGTTTGTWTTAGCGTAAAATTCCAAARGTTTTCAGTGTATCTGAATATRCAGATATGGGTTTTGTCTRCGGATTTTGTGACGGAAATGCTGCATCTGATGTTGCAAAATGCCGTAAAAGGTTTCCTAATAGAATAATTCTTACACGGAAAGTGATAGTTAAGGMTTTAGCAACTTTGAGTTYTCATGGCACATTACCATCTATCAACAAAATGGGAGCATGGAGTTTAAAATGACAACAATGCGGAAAATATTCCGCAAAGAATAGTAGAAACCAGAGGTACATTGGCTTTATTCCCTATCATCTAAGACGTGTTCACCACTTGCATCCCGGAGATGGTGTAAAGAAACTGGAGTTTTGTCTCTGGATTCTGAATTACACATTTTTAATACATCGAGGCCTATTTACGGATGAATCTACTTTTACTCGAGATGGAGTAAGTACTATGCAAAATAGTCATATTCTACCAGAAATTGCCTAAACCCAATTCAGGAGCAGAAATACAGAATCGCGTTATGGACGCGGCCGGCCAATAGTCGAAGAGGACGAATGCATGTGCATTCGTGTGTGTAGTAGCGCACATACGAAGAAGAGTTGAAAAGTGTGTGGAGAGCAAATGTTTAATTTCTGAAGACATTGAATTCTAATTTTTATTGAAAGTACGATAATGTAGCTTTAAATATTATTATATTTTTATCTACTTTGTCCACTAAGTTATTTTCTTCTCCCTCTTCTATCTCTTCACTTTCAGCTTTTGAGAAATCACCACCTCTAAACGGCCTCTAACTCCCGGGCCATATGTATGCACCACATATTAGCAACACGCGTGTGCCAGTAAATATAAGATTAATATTTTTAACAAGAAACTGGAACCAGTTTCTATCTGCTTCAATACACACATTTTTTTAAAATTTAATTTTATGTGTCCAATTTGGCTCACCCACCACAAATCTGACTTTAGAAATCTAATCGCATATCGCAGCAAAAATGCAAGAAATATTTTTTAGTTGAAATAAAACACTGAGTTTCAAAAATATTGCAATAACTAAAAAATGCATTGGCCTACCGTTTTTTTTTCCTCTAACAAAATCGGTAAACACCCTCTACATCCGTTAATAAGGTTATTTTCAAGCTTAGAATACGTTGTTAAAATAATGCCCATTCCTCATGAAGCACCTTGTAGGAATTATTGACTAATCACAATAAGATAAAAGGCGACTTAATGTAATCTAATGTAACTAGCCAGTTCAGACAGAAATACTTCGCTGAACCGTGCAATGAAATGCAATATTCAAATGAAAGCAGCATCAATCGGGTAATAAAATTATAAATTGTTCAAAAAATAGCAGATGATAAAAGAAAGGTCTAGACCAAATAAATGAGATCGGTTTATTGTGTAGCAGATTTGTGGTAAATTTTTCAAAGACGTATTCGATCATTTTATCGGTTTCGTTGAAGAGACTGAATTGCAGCATATTAGCGTTAATTAATTATTAAAATGAGGACTGTTTTAAAATAACCAACAAAATTTCAGCTATTGCTTCGAAACAATTTCTATTATACGTACTATAGAATTTCCGTTTATAAAAAATACCTGATTGTTAGGAAATGTTCCATCCCGGTCGATCGCGTTAACTTGTGTTACTTTGGTACCAATTGGTTCACCTTCCAAAACTGTTTCCTGTTCTCTTTCGGTGAAAAGAGGAATTTCATCATTCACATCCTCGAGTTGAATATACACTATTGCTTCAGATGCCAACTGTTGAATACCATTATTCTGTAATAAAAATTAATTAATTAATTAATTCTGTAAATTCAAAATGTGCCTATGATTAGAATATGTAACACATACACGATGAACTTGAATACATTCTTCTAAGCAATAATTGGTAATTTACTAAAGTAATACTTATTAATAATCGATTATTATTAATTATTATTAATATTACTACTTTAATTGATGATTAGACAATCGCTATAGGAAAACTGAGAGTATGAAAAGGAATACTCTAATTAATTTTAAACGCTGGTTTATTAGAGGAAGGTACCAGCAAACGTAGTCAGTTGATTACTTTAATTTAAATACTTTCGGTCCAAAAAATACCTTTTCTGTACCGATTTTTGAGGCAATATTTATCTTTTTTCAAATGAGGTCTGTATCAATAAATTCTACCGCACTTAGTATATTTTTTGAGATAAATAATAAATTAAAAACAGCAAGTCCATTTCTAATAACATACGTATAGAGTTCTAATCTTCTTCTTCTAAATCTAGCCCACAGTGAAATTACATGAATATTGCCACATATTGCGATAATTTCGTTTAAAATATGTTTTCCAAGCCTTCTAATTTGAGAAATGAATGAAAAATTAATAATTATTTAAGTAATTTGTGGTGGACAACTTCAAAAAGGTACAAATACGAATTTACGAACATTACGTATATTCTCACGAACTCAAAATATATCTAAAATTAAATAATACATCCAAAATGACAAATTAGTGTGTAAAGTGCAATTGAATTGTGAATGCATCAAGGAATTGTATGGTTGTCGCTCCTTTATCGATTCAACATGCCACAACCCACAACTATTTTCTCAATATACTTTACTATTAATAGAAACACTTTGACATGAAATAGCCTTTCCAGATTTGTTGTCAAATACAATCTGCAGACTTTTTGATTGCAATTGAGCATCAAAAAAATTAGAGCATGCTAAACCTAGAAACACACAATTAGTCTAGCTGAGATAACTGTGATGATAATATAATTATTTAACAACAATTACAATAATCAAATATCGTTTGTTAAATGCTCACCTCAACACGAATGGTCAGATTATATTCCTTGATTGTCTCATAATCCAGTGGATGATTCACTTTAATATCGGCCCATGTAAAGCCATTTTCAGGCCTTTGTTGAAGGTAGAAGGTGTGGAACTTATTGGTTTGAGCAGTAGATCCAGGCATCAGACGGTAAAACACAGTCGGATTATTCTCAATTCCCGAGCTAGATAGGAAACAAATATTGAAAATCTTCGGTTTATCCTAATCTAAGCAGTTTCATTTATCGAAAATAATTAACCGGAAACGAGGTTTGGTATTATAAAATGAAACTGCTTGGAAAGAGTGGCGCTTAAAAATAATCGCTTAAGTACGATCCAAAGCAGCGCCCAAAAATATCATGGCCGACAAAAATCTATAGCCACATGCAAAAATGTAATTTACTGTAAAAAAGCTATTTATCAATGTGATAGGAACAAATCTTCCAACGCACAAAAAATTTATTGAATGCTGTGATAGAAACAAATGCTCAGCCTCTAAACGAAAAAGAGTTCCTGATTCAAAAACCGCTTTTTTACAGAAAAAAATGGTCATGCAATAATATTACTGTAACTAACTAAGGACACTGGCAATCCGTTTTTGAACGAATATTAAAAGTATACTGAAGAACAAAATGAATTTACTAATATGTCTACGTTTACAGACAGAAATCATGCAAAATATTGAGAACAATGCGTTTGAATTACGGAATGCCAATTACCTCGTTTAAAAATGTTCTAATCTTTTGAAAACTGATCCATTTTTTGAAAAAAACTTTCGAAAATACGTTCTTCTTCAGAAGAATCGTTGAAAATATTCCACAAAAATAGGAAAGGATTTATTATGGGAAATTAAATATCGCTTCCAGTGAAAAAAGTTGGTGAGGAATCATGTAGAGGATGAATATATTTTTTTAATTGTTCTGAACGCTGCCATATTTGGTGCCCATTTTACCACATTAGAAAGCACATGTGTTTGTTAATTTTGGCCGTGAAGTGCAATTGGAAAACAGCATTCAGTACTGTAGTATGTTAGAGAAATATTTAAAAGAAGGTTAGCTAACTTGCACCCATTAAACATGTCGGTCATATGTTCGCTTTAATGAAAAACTAAACATACATTTCCAGGCTTCTTTAATAAAAAATGCGTTATAACAACGACGAGGACCGAGGACTAACAAACAATGGGTGTTTAAAGAAACTTGGATATGGCAACAAGTTTAACAAAAATTTTAAGTCAGCTGTATCACGACTTGTGGACCTCGTGCTAGCTTCGATATATTTGTTACAAAAAAACAACTTAAAATTTTTTTGTAAATAAAGCGTGCAGATTACGATTCGATCCACAACGCGGCGCTGCGTGCTGCCGCGGTGGGAAACACTGACACCATTTCATTGATTTTGCTGCAGAGAGTTGGACAAAATGTAAACTGCAAGTATCAACATGTTCTATAAAAGACAGAAATTTTGCGTGACATTGGAAATAAAAGTCGCGAAGTTTCGAGATTGAACCGTTTTTACCCGGCAACTCTGATATACCATATGTTCCAATCGTTAACTAATTGAGTAGATAGATAAGAATCTAGTCACTTTCAAGATCAAAACTGCAACAACCTTTTGATATTCTAGTTTAAATTATGTTGTGTTAAAAAGTCACTATTGATTATTGTTTATGGTATGGCCAAGAATAATCTTTTGTCTCAATACAATGGTGAAGGAACTTCAACAAACACATCAAATGTATGAAACAAGAAATAACGTTATGAAATGAATTTATTTTTAATATGCTAATATTCTCTTAGAACTAAATATATCAGATAACTATTTGGAAACTCAAAAGCTTTAACGGAAGACGCAGTTTGAGTTGTTTAAGTTGAATTCTATGTGCAAAATTTACAGAAAATGTTACCCCAATTATAGAAAAAAGAAAATTAAATTCAGGGTAACACTCGGAATCCCTAGAACATAGTTTAGAAAATCCTGAAATCCTATATTCAAGACGATCGAATCACGATTTAGATTAGATCAGTGCAAAGATGTTTTTCAAAATTATCCGGAAAGTTTTCGTTATTGTGTAAAAAGTGTCTTATTTAAAATTTCAATTGATTGTAACCGGAATTAAAAAAAAAATAAAAACCGTCTAAACACTAATTTTAAACTTAAACTTATTACATGAAAGTAATAGCAATATTTTGAAATTACCGTCGTAGCAACTGGTCAATCCTAATAAATGGATAGCAATAAGAAATAATTGTGATTTTTTAAATTAATGTACATGCTGCTTAATTTCATCACTTGGCAGTTGCAGTAAGTTAAAAAGCAGGCTTAAAGTAACTGTAAAAACATTTTCTGACCAAAAGCGTTGCTAACTGCTAACACTATTTAAAAAAGTTGAAAAATACTGTATTTATCCTTATGTAAATTGCCAGTTCTATTGTTGTAAAAATAATCCTCTCTTTACCTAACTTCCATAGGCTTGAGAAATGTTCTTATTTAGGAACGAAATTAGATCCCTCGTAATCTGCTACAGATTAAGGGGGGTTAGAACCAGACAATTTTGCCAGATTTGTCTAATTTAAAAGTTTTAAATAAATTAAGTAAAATTAAAGATGGCTTTCGAAATTCAGGGATCAACGTTACGCTTAAAACAAAAAAAACATATTGTTTTGTTTCAAATGTTACTATAAGAACAAAATTTTATATCGGAAGAATACGTTAAAATTTGCTATGCATTCAAGGGGGCGCTGCCAGAAATATGCAAATCTTCTTTAAAAGGAGATATTTATTTGTGTCGCCCATTTATAGCAAGTATTGATGGCAATTATTACTTGCTATGCTTATGTTTGGGATAGTCACATCTTTTATGAAAGAAAAGATGTCTTGAAAGAAGTGATCTGCAGTATTCTTACTGAAGATTGCATGCATTGATGCAACTCTTGTTCATTTTTCATGGCGGACTTTAAAATTGATGGAGCCATCAATATCAACGCCTATGAATAATGAACAAAATCAAAATTCAGTGAATAAGTAGCCTAAGACATTTTGGGATTAAAAAACTGGTGGCTACGATCCACTTCTTACGCTCTTAATAAAGACGCTAACGGAGATATATAATAAGAATTACATTAGATTTCTTGCTTAAAATTGTTTTGTCAAATAATTTAAGACGTATTTCGTTCCACAAATGAGAAATATTCACTTAATAAAACTTCACTACACTACAAATTGAACGAACACAAAATGGGTCATAAGAAAAGTAACTTGTCTTTTAAATTACATGTTGATCACGTCACCCTCCTAAATGTGCATAGCAAATGGTGATTGATTCTAACATCTGATTCAAAAAGAGTATCGAAGCGAAATTGTGTTCAAATAGTAGGGTGATATTGTATCGCAGGAACCTGATGCAGGATTTTGCACACACACACACACACTTTACAGAGATCATGTATATCAAATTTGATTGGAATTAGTTTATATCAGAATTTTACTTTCCAATTTTAGTTCCAGATTTTATATTTGAAAATCTGGTGGATAGGACAAAACTTTTATCGTATTTGTTGTTTCTACTAGAATATAAAATATTGAGAATCATGCCTATGAGAATTATGTTTACATTGGCACATGCAGTTTACATTTGCATGGTACTGAAGAAAAACCTCTATAATGGACTTAAGCTGATGGCTTTTAGTGAATATTGAAGAACATAAATATTGAAATTTGACCAAAATGCAAAAATAATTCCTTCTTTAGCTATACAGACAAAAGAACAGAACAAAATTGACACAGTTTCCTACAAGTGATTTGTAGTAGGTGAAGAAAGTCGAAGTTTTTCTCCAAATACCAAAGTGCCCATCTGCCTCTCCAAAATGGGACAGACCTGGCTTTAACAGAGATCACTTTGCCACCGACGGCATGGTTCTCTCGGATGTAGATCGGCCCGTACACTACGTGGTCCCAAACGGGAGGATTGTTGGCCCGATCGACCACATCGATCTGCACTTCGACTGATCGGGAGAGGGGCGGGTACCCTTTGTCCTGCGCAGTAGCTTCGAGGCGGTACGTCTCACGCTGTGTGCGCAGCATTAGACGCGGCCGTGGAATCAAAAAGCAAGAGCGGGACTTGTCGTTAGTTTTGAGGAATTTGAGGAGGGTTGAGTGTGGGTGATGGCTTACGCTTGTTAATGCTATCAGTTATTTACGGAGCAGCTATCCAGAAAAATGTGTGGTAACTGTCCGCAAATACTGTGCAGCTCATATCAGATAGCAGGCAGTAATAATCCCGACATTGAGACTATTAACTTCTGCTAACCATGGGCAGTGTAAAAATAGTTGCAAGGTCACATGGGAAGTTCAAAAAGATAACTCCTGATAAATGCAAAAATTCGCATAAATACCCAAAAATTGCATAAAATCACTCCGCCGAAAATGGATCGTTTATTTTCGTGATAAATGGTTCGCATCTTCTCACAATCGGAAGGCACGTAACCACATTTTCAAACACGCAGTTTTATTACTCAACCAAGGGATATCTCACCTATGACTGAGAAATAACATTTAGGAATAGGTGTGTTTGAAGCAAAATAATAGCTATTAAACTAATTAATGTCGATACTTGAATACAATTGAGGCATGGCACATTAGCAATCACCAAATTGCAAACTAAATTCCACATTCTTCCGAAATCATCCACCGGTTCATCGTCTAATTTTTGTATCTATAAAACTAACCGCCTATTGGTCAGTACCATAATGTGTGGCACTAGCATTGTTCGGAAACTAATGAGGAAACAATCGGTTACAAATCAATTGGAAAAACTAATCAGGTTGCAAATATGTATTCATATATGATTAAAATCGATGAGAATTACCCTAATTTGTTGGCCGCAAGTACAAATAAATCATATTTCGAATAGAGCGTGCGGTATTTGCTGCACGTGTAGTTTTGTTTGAAAATTGACGCAGTTGTATCCGCGCTCTATCACTTGAAAAGAGTAATCAATCTTTCCGCTTTTTAGAGAACACATTTATAAGTCAAATTGTCCTTAATTTTGTGAAAATTTTCTACGAGCTGATGATCTAACATCCTCGAATGTATTAAATTAAAAAATACACGGTTTACAAAACGAGCCACAAAATCTGTTGATATTACAATTAAACAATAGTTTACCGGGTGACCTATTTCATCCTAAAGCAGTATTTTGAAAGCAGTAAACTACAAACGAAATTTTCGAATAAGTTAATATGTAAAGTGAACAGTTTATTCGTGTCACACAAATAAATACACTTCTTCTTTCTTGTACGGTCATACGGAGGACAACTAAGAAAAGAGAATAGACACAAGTGAAGAATTTTCAGTTTTTATATATTATTTTTAAACGGGTCAAAAATCTGCTCATCCTTTTATTCTACAATCTCAATTAATTGAAACAATATAACATTCAGAAAGGCTCCTGTATGCGATCAATAAGCAACGCACGCATGGAGAAAATATTATTTTCACGAATGCTGTTGGTATTCACGACTGTGCAAGCCGCTCATGAGCTCCAATAGCTTTACTGAATGTCGAGTGGTTATCAATTAATTGAGATTGGAGTATCTGAAGAAGAGACTCAAAATTCTGAGAAAAAAACGAAAATACTGGGATGACATTGTTGAATTCTGGACAGATTGGGAAATAATGTGCTAAACTCATACAAGACTGGTCCTGCTTATATGCCTCAATCGATATCTAGGAAACTGTAATTAGGAGAAATTTGAAAATTGGACGGTGTGTCGAAGTCGTTGGGGGCAAGCGACCTAAATTATTTTTAAGATGGCTACACTTCCGGTCATACCTGAAGTAGGTATCAACTTGCTTATTTGAAATGGAACAGCCTATATATTCTTACTTTTTTGAATTCTACTCCAAATTCTAAATATATTTCATGTATAATATCATATACCTAAGTCTAACCGTTTTTGGTAATTTTATGTAAAAAAGTACAGTTCCTTGATGACCCGAATAATTATTAATTTTTCCTATAAACGAACACGGTCTACTTAAGTTCAGTCGCATTTATTGTTGAAAAGGACTTACTTTAATGGAATTTCGACAGCATTTATTTTGTACACAAAATTTCAAATATATCAAAAATGGTTCGACTTAGGTATAGGATACTAGATTAGATTAGGTATAGATACATAAAATATATTTCGAATTTGCAGTTGAACTCAAAAATCTAATAATATATACGGTGTTCCAATTAAAACAAGCAAGTTGATTCCTACTTCCGGTATAACCGGAAGTGTGGCAATCTTAAAAATAGTTTACATTTAAAATGCTTTACACTTTACTCTTCTGTTATCAAGGAGCAGGCCGATTTTAATTCTGCTTCACAGTCGTTTTTGCCTTTTTGCATTCAGACATGCTCACGATGGAGTTCTAAATAGCACTGAAAGCAAAGTTTGTATATCGTGATACCTACAACGAAAATGAATTTAATGTCGACATATTCACAAACATATGCGTTTTTTGCGGCAAGTGCAGTTCTTATCACGAGGATCAGTACGGCCTCACTTTTAAATATTCCGTTGATTTTTTTGAAGGAATGCATACCAGGTTCTTTGAAGTATCAAATAAAAAAAGAACTGGTAGAATAAAAGGGTGACTCGCCTTGAGATGAGACCAAACCAAAAACCAAAAAAAAATCCGCCTGCACCGTTATCTTACTCTATCCGCTTTCATGTCATCACTCCTAATCTCTCAGAACTTCATTTGTGTGAAATTGAGACAAGCCAAGATTCATGAATTGGAATGAAGACATAAAAAAGACATTCTGATCTCAAGCACATTGTTTCACTCACTTCATCCATCAGCGCACTTTGATTTTTATGTACTGCAGAAATCACCTCTTAGCTATAGGGCTAACCACAAATAGTTGTGGTAAGACAAACACGTAAAACCCTACCAAAATACCTCAACTGCTTTCTTTTCGACTAAAACTCGACAGTATGACCGTTGAATGTGTCATGTCTCAATTGGACTTGAGTAAACTGAGATAAGAAATACTGCTGAGCTTAAATCCAAATAACTATTACCAGCTTAAAACACATCCAGCCTGGGGTTGAAACCCTTTATCCGACACCAGCGGGCTGTTGCATACAAACCTGGCCTTGACCGACGTGACCACAGTTCCCACTGTGACATTTTCTTTAATGTGGATGGGGCTTAGGGTATCTCTGTCCCAAAGTGGTGGCTTGTTGTTGCGGTCGACAACGTCGAGCTCGATGTCGACGTCTGCGTATGAAGGCGGCACTCCCCGATCGGATGCGCGCACACGCAATCTGTACCTGTCTCTCTATGAGAGTGAAATAGACAAACGGCACGGTCATGAACAGGTGGGGATATAACCAAACATAATTTCGAATGGTATCAAAGTAAATGTAAATGGGGTCCTGTGTGTACCAGTCTTTATTCAATGCTGTATATTAAACAAGCAAAATTAAGTTCAACGCTGATGTAATACTTACAGAAAACATTTCCTTGTTTATCAGTAAACGAAAAACTAAACAAACCCTCTGAGTGGAGCTTTGAAAATATATGAAAGGGTCCATGTCAATTTAAAATTGTATTTATTTACGATTCTTCAGAAGTAAACAATATCATTAACTTTTTACATTTTACAGGTCTTTAGGCCAGAAACATATTTTAAATTTGCTAGATACTCGAGTGCTCGTTATTCCAATACTCTTTACGGCGATACTCGTTGCTCGAATACTCGTTCCTCAAATACGTATTACTAGTATATTTTTTAAGTGTAAGAGAAGCCAAAATCGAAACTCAGCTAATCGGTGCCAGTGAAAATAGATGCAGAACTAAAAGAAATGTACAACCATCCAGAACTGATAACCCTCATAAAGACACTATCAAGGTTGAGATGGTCAGGGCACGCACAAAGACAGCCAGAGGATAGAATGGTCCGCTCAGCAGAGCACCAGAAGGAAGGCGACCACTTGGAAAACCGAGATTAAGGTGGCGTGATAATATTGCATCGGACCTACGGAAAATGGGCATTGAGAATGGTCTACAAGTTATAGGAGACCGAGACAGATGGGGGCAAATTGTTGCCTCAGTCAAGGCCCACTAGGGGCTGTAGCGCTACGGAGTAGTAGTATTTTTTTTACATGAATACTCGGCACTTAAGCCTCCGTTACTCGAGCAGACCAGATGTAACCAATAGCAGTCGAGAGCGACATGATTATTTAATACTTTTATTATTCGTATGATACCTATTTGGAAATGGATCTGATATTTTGTTGCTCTCGGTGCCCGATGTAAAAGATTGAAGTTATTTAAAATATAAGGTTTTCGTATTTAGGTGGCGGGTCGTTTATAAGAATTTACGTAATTTACGTCATGGAAGATTAGTAAGCAGGTGATGATTGTCCAGCTTAATTACATACAAACATATGCGTATAAATACTTTATATTGACTAATATGCATGATAGCCCATTTTTCAAATTGGGGAATTTTGTTCAAGCTTCAGCGAAAATTTAGATGCAAAATTTGTGGAAAGCACAATTTTTCTTTGATAGCACTTACTTAATTTAAATCAAAATGCATAACGCCCATAAATATAGGTTTAGTTTCATTGTTTTTGGACCTTGAATAAAAATAAATAAAAAAGTGAAATAAAATTTAAATTATTTTATTGTCCAACCAATTTACTTTATTTGTAAAAGTATTGCGGAAAAAAAATTCATTTTAAACATAAATTTGTTTCAGTTTTGCGCTACTTTCTGCAGATAGAAAAACAGACAAAACAACGCTCTCTCTGACTATATTTTGTATATTTGCTAACTACGAATAAAATGTAAAAATGTTCATATATTATATTTTCAAATATATTTCCTTCTTAGATACCTTCAATATTGTTGTCTAAAATTGACAAAATAAATTAAATTGTTTTATGTTGATTTCGTATAATAAATTATATCAATTCAAATAAAATAAAAATAAATTTAGTTGTCATCTATTTAATTTGAATTTAACTTTTAAACTAGATAGAAATTATCTACTTACTTCCTGAATAAGCGTATATGTAAAAGTTGCAGACTAGTTAGTAACTACCCTTCTCTCTACAGTTACGATGATTTGTTTTGATTATTAGATGTTTTACAGAGCAGTTTCAAGTTAATATTACACAATATAATCTTAAAACATATAATATGAAATATTGTGAACATATTCGTTTTTATAAAATGCAGCTGAAAAAGACTGATACGCACCAAACAAGAAATGAAAATAAATAAATGTCATAATCAATTAACCAACAACAAATCAGTAATGATAACTCAATCACACAACTGAACTTAAATATAAATGAAGATGATGAGGCCGACTTACTTCTTTTCTGTCTGATGATCAGACTGTGTTTTGGTCTCAATAGAATAATACATAAAGCTGTATGTGAACATCGTATTACTTGAATGTGAAAATACATTGTAACTATGTATAGACTTATAAAAATTCGTCTAAGGCACTTAAAAAATTCCTCAGATAACCGTTTATAGCAATAGTTGTCTGAACAATATACCATAACCAATTCTATCTATTCAATTCAATCTATGTAATGCTATAATGCTAAATGTAGTATTAAGCGGTCGTTGAATATTACTTTTATGTTATGCAACATTACTTACCTTTACGTAAGATTGACGATTTTCTTATCGTTTTAAAATCTATTTACATTTGGCAAATTTTGCGATTCCAATAAAAAATATCTGCTACTAATTACTAATAACGTACCATACATTATTAGTAAGACCAATTCAAATTGACAGGCAGTTTTTAAGTAAAATTATCAGGTCAAGACATATTTTGAATGGATGAACAAAAATATTAATTTGAATGCTTGCACCAAGTTAATTAAAGAATGCTAAAATCTCGTGTATACAAAGTAGGTACTTTACAAATTTGTGATTTGTATTTAAATTGTGTCACAATTATCCTTATGAATCATCGTCTAACATATTAAGTCAATTTGTACAAAATAAGTATTAATTACAGCTAAGCTGCCTCAAAAAATAATAAAAAAATATAATGGAACTCTTTAACGAACCAGAGGATCAGACTATAAAAACTTCTGCGGCAGGTCATAGTATATGTTAAAAAGCTTTCCGCGTTAGCCGTAGGTCAGTGGAATTGCTTCTAGACGTTTACCTTAAATCTGCGGTGAATAATAACTTTAACTGAAAGTTTGAAAGTAGTGCATTAAATCGCAACTCAAATCAGACGTGTTGCCATGCACCCCATCGGGCGTTGTGGCTCTTTCATGAACAGAGTCTGGTATAAATGCAGCTGTAGCACCAGTTAAAAATGTAGTCAGAAGAGAGTAGCAAGCAAGACAACTTCGGCAGTTACCTAATGTACTTCAAAAATGTTTACCGTAAATCTGAACGACACGAAGCTACTCTAATGGTTTACAGCCCCAGAAACTTTTCAACCTAAACTTTTACAACAATATACATATGTATGTATACAGCGTCAGTCAGCAAATTTTATTGGTCGATAGAAAATCCTATGCGTGCAATACTACACGTAATCATGTCGAAGTTTTCGGAGTTTTGTCCCAAGATCGGACATGGTGATCCGGTTGTTTGACGTCCATGTTCATCCGATCTCACCACCTTAGATTTTTGGCAATGAGGCCCAACAAAATATAGGATTGATCGGGCCACTCGAGTTGCATCGAAGATGTTGCAGATAAAAATTGCGAGTCAGAAGGGGTTCACCATTTACTTTCGATAATTATAATTGTTTAGTCTACGTTTGTTACTTTGTGGTATATTAATTTGCATTTAAAAAGTGTTTTAAACTTAAAAAAGTTGACAAAGATTTGTCAGCGATTGCAAACAAGAGCACCGTTTTTACGTAAGTATGATCAGAAATTGTTTTTTCTAGATCAGGTGAAAACAGGTAGGCACAATAAACTTTGCAAAATTTGAAAATGTAAAAATAGTACCATGTGGCGCTCTGTAAATTTGCGCGCCTAATGTAGAATTTTTTGACCGCATCTTTGTATTTGCATAAATTAATTAACAAAAATTAAAATTAAATGTTAACTTTTCTATCAACCGTTAAACTCCATCTTATATAAACTGAATCCATCCTGTACATGTACAGGGTATTTTTTCATCATAGAATTTTTTTGCCTTTCCTTTATTTTTGTAAAAAGTTAATATCTGTGAGGAAAAAAATTATTCGTGTCAGAAACACAACGCCTATTTCGACCTTGTAGGCTAGGTAGAGGCCAGCTTGAGAATTTCAAATGGTAACCACCACATTTTATTGGAGATTCGAATAATATGTCAAAAAGTGAAAATAATTTATCTAAACCATTTTCTTCGATTTTGACAGGTGGACTATGGGCCCAAAGAAGAAAATTTGTGTCAAAACAAAATTTCTCTTAGAGATTAATTAGGGAACACAGAACAAGAACGAAGTAGGCGCCTTTTTGTGACACAAATAAACTTCCCCCTCCCAGATATTAACTTATTATTTGAAACATTTGTTCCTCGGATCACTAATTTCTCAAATATTTCAGCGTTTCAACATAAAGAAAACCACCATATATTTAAGTTTTCAAAACATACGTTCTGAGTAGCTCCTCACATTTCATTTTAGTAATTATATTGTATGAGAACCAACAGCCTAAAAAATTCTAACTTTTCCACCATGTATCCGTGTAACAATGTTATTTTTTAAATAAATTTTCATTGCACATACGTAAAAAAACATGTCTATATGCATCATAAATGTGGACAAATGTTACATGTTTTTTTTTACATCATTATGATTCATTATTTTGCATATGTTCATCAAGTTTTCGTTTTTCCATTGGTTTAGATAATGAGCGCTATTTACATTCCACAAATGTAATTTAAAAAGTTTAATGTTGCTGTTGAATAATATCCAATCATTTCATAAAATTTATGTAACCACATTACTTATTTTGTCCGCATCGGCAAGCATTTAATTACCATTCAACTAATAAAACACAAAGTTAAAACGAAAAAGTGCATTTAATACAAAAGTATAGCTTTATTGACCACCTTATTGTCAAATGTATTATTCGCAGAGTTAATCCAAAACACAGTCTAAAGAATATTGATGTGAAACATCAAGATTCGCACACCAGATTCAGAATTGTTTGGTAAAATACCGTAAAGCTAGCCCTAAATGGAATTAGCATTTCTACGGCAAATTTACTATTTACTTACTGGATAACATCCCTGTATTCCGTTGGTCGGTGGTTTTAAAGTGAATAACATAAAAGTGCAGTTAAATAAAAAATAAGTAAATAATGTTTTAACACCGTATACACCAATCATATGAAGTCGAAACTGTTATTAATTTTATATGAAATATATACTGAGTGATTCAATACTGAAGCAAAGTCAAGTGTTGAATAAAAACATGTTGGGTTTATCGGATAAGTAAACATATAACTCTAAGCCATATCCTGATGGTTGAAAAACTATAAATTATTTTATTTTATTTAGTTAAGTTATTTTAGAAGTGTATTGTATGTGACTGGAGGTAATAAGGCAGGGTACTTATCAGGAAATCAAACACTTTGTTTGCATTGGGTGCCATATAAAGTACAAATTTAAACATAACATTTTAAAAAATTCAAACCAGTCAGAGTATTATGAAACTTTAAAAATACACCTATAAAAAAATGGTATATTTACAACTTTAAACACCCAATCGTCCCTTTTAGAAATTCCAAGTTTCGACACCATTTGACAATAAAATTAATATCACATGATCTTTTCCGCGTAAGAGAACCATCTGATATTTGCTGTACGCCAATATTAGATTTCTAAAATCATTATGATGTGGTGTATGCGATCATTGTAACAAAAACCAAACTTAGTAAGCAGGCAAAAGTCATGCAGAAGACAGGAAAAATTAAAATATTAAAATGTGAGGGCAAGTCGGGAGCAAGGACGTGCATCAAAATGTTTCTGTTCTTTGTTAAACGACCATCAAAAACCGATTAGACGTTTAGAGTTGGATTTTTTCGTTAGTTTGCAATTTGTTTCGCCGCCCCATACACAATGCAAAAATGTCACAATGTTAATAAAGGGGGTTTATGGTAAATCTATTCAAATTACTGGACATTAATGAAGATACTTTAAATTAACTAAGTCCACATGTGAAACCGAAAATCATGTATTGTGGAGTGTGAAAAATATTACAATTAATTTCGTATTTTATATTCCATTAAAGCAATATTAGAAAAACTCCAAAACACATGTAATTAACCCCCTTTAGGACATAAGGAGTACACCTACTGGGTGCTCAAAAATGGTCACTTCCTACTGTCTGGTTGTTTGGAAATAAAAACAGCTTAAATATAAAAATACGATTCCAGCCATTGCACCTGTAAAAATATCTCTCAAAAATCACAAAAATCACACAATCAAAAAAACCAATTGCCCAAGCCGGAAAATAATGTGCATCAAAAGTACATATTTCAACATTTTGCTAAGCGTGGCACAGCTGACTGAAATAAAAATATTTTCAATAACGCAGAATTAGGAAAGAAATTTTCAGAAATAACGCCACAAATTAAAATGTATGAAACAATTAATTTTGATCGCTATAACAAAATGTTGAAAACGGACGAAAGCACACATCAATCTGACTAAGGCAAGTAAAAAATCGAAGTGGCGGCCAAAAATTGTAGGTGGCAATACAAAATAAAAAAGGACAGCGCTCCTTGCTACTCCAAAAAATAGAGAAAAGGGGTAAAAGTTGAGATTTGGACGGAATTACCTCAAGTACTTTTTCATCCAATATTTAATGAATCTATTAATACCTCTTTGAGTTATATGAATATTGTCTGAAATTCTTGGATTGGGCAGATACGACTACTGCAGGCATAATTTGCCAGTGATGTGTCGCTCTGGTCATAACTAGAATGATAGTTTGCATTACGGTATAAAATATCCTTTGAAGGTAAACAAATTCATAAGAAAATGCGTAAAGACGGTACTTGAGCACGATTCCTCCAGTGTTACAACTTGACAAAATACTCAAAAACAAAGGAGGTACAGAAACAAATTCATGAGAAATTCTAGTACTTTGTATAAGTTTGCAAGGTGTGCCGTATAAACCAACTTATTGAATAAAACGTCAAAAAGAGAACGGTGCAATCGGTCGCAGCTCTTAATCGCCGGACCAATTTGTGCAACTCAAATATAAGGTGCGCTGTAAAATCATCAACAAAAAAGCTGCTAAAGGACATTCCATAATCGCTGGTCGCCAATAGTTTACATAAAAATTCAAGCATATTTCTGTCTCAATTCGAAACTTCTAATATTCGAATGTTGTGTGTACTTCCTGATATAACTGAATTGTGGCTTTAACGCCAGATGGAACAAAAATGTTACTCAGTTTAATTTGCGTTGAGAAAATGAGCTAAGTATTGGCTGAGCACATTTGATTAAACAAATACAAAAAAATACAAACATCTGGTTATTGTCTTTTTCAGTTAACGCAAAAACTTCACAAAATTATAGGTTGACAAACTGTTGGTCTTTCAAGGTAACAATCCGCCGCGCTGTATATAATTCTATAAAATATTTCCTAGGTGAAATAATTCACTTCTATTATTTACTGCTTAAAATTATAGTAATCTCTAGTCAAAAATGTTAACTAATTTTCCGTACTATTTCAGCAAGGAACGATTGTTTACGGAAAATTATTTCTAGTTGGCTTCATTTTATCGAAGCAAAGTTTAGAGTTATTACTCACGATTTTTTAAGGAAAAAAACTTGGTTTTTGAATATTTTTACATAATATAGGAAATGTTATGCATTCATTGAAAAGCCAAAATGCATATGCATACATTTAACTTGTCTTTATTCTTATTGGATTTTTGGAAATTCTTAAATATGCCTCAAGTTTTGTTAAATCATAGACTTGGATGTATTAAATATTACACTGAAAAAGTATTAAATCGAATGCTAGTTTGGGCCAGCTTAGCGTTATAAAATATATTGCAGAAATGCTTATAAAACTACAATCAAGGAAAACCGGTAAAGTTCAAAAATATTATAAAAAAAATTCAAATTGTTAATCATCAACATGAATGTATCGAGCAACATATTTAAAACGGTGAACTTAGTGAAATTCAATAATAACAATTAATTTGGTATTTTTGATAAGCAAAGAAAACGTGTTCCTTCGCAGTTCGAGCGAAACTATTTCCATTGTCGCCCTATCAAAAGGTTACGAACTATGTGAAATGCCCAATTATTTGAAGACAACACTTATTTCGTAAATGTTTATTCGACATCCAATTTTTCTAAAACTTCCAGTCTGCCAACCTATGGCCAACCTATAGACTTATAACGGAAATGTATAAAGTTCTGTGGATTATATTTGATTGATACTGAGGTAAAGTGAATACCTACTGCAAATAATGCAGATTATAAAAGTGAATTACATCGGGATTCAGGCAGTATTATAATAAATATATTATATAGGCACTTAGGTGTTACATGTTCATGCGACTTCTTGCTTTCGTTTTTTAACTACCAACTGAACAATAGGTAATACTTTTGTGCAGTTTCTATGATAATGTCGATCACTCTTGCAAAGAAATAAACACATGTACCTCAAACAAAAAAGGAGTAATTTGCAACAAAATTATGAAGTAAGCGTCATTTTTTAAGCCAAAGTATTACTTTTTAAAGTAACTGAACTCGGCCTCATGTGATAATGAATTTCAATTTCCATGATGCTTGAGTTTTCACTGTTACTCTCAGTTATTTGAGCGAACCAAATGGAATGTACTTTATTAGTATGTCCACTCGTACCTATCAGTGTTCCGGACATTTTCAGTATTTTAGGCCCCCTACAGATTTTTTCCTGGAATTAACAGGCATACTCCCATTCACGCAGAATTTAGTTATTTAGTTTTAAAATAAAAGTTCCGCTATTATCAGAGTTAAGACACTTTTATCTACAGGTCAAACTCTGGTCAGCAGTCATCAACTTCTAAAAGATTAAAGGGTTAGTCAATATCAATTACTGCACATTAGATGAGCTGCTTTTCTCGCTCTAAATAGCTCAAGGAATAATTTTAATTGAACAGTCGAAAGTTGAAGATTGGTTTAAATATTATTATAAATTATTATCAGCTCAAATGACATATTTATATCAGCAATAATATTGATATTCGCAACACAACTGCTTTAAGGTGGCTTTTTTATAATCAAATTACTCCTTGACTATAATCGTTAATAAGTACCGGCTAATGCAGAGATGTCCTCTTCAAATATAGATTAGGCGAGAAACTTCACCAAAGTGAAAAATTACTGGGCCATAGCGCCAGTGAATGAAGTTATAATAAAATTGAGACAATTATGTGAATCACTGCATTATTTTCACCCCGCTATCTTAGATTTAATATTAAAGGCAGTTCATCCAGAACTTAGGTACTTACGTCTAGAGGCTTTCTAAGAACAATCCAACCACTTTCGGGTTGAATTTCGAAATACTCCAAATCCGCGGGATTTGAGCCAGCATTCAGAGTGTAGATAATAGCACCGTTGTTATCAGCATCTTCGTCTGAGGCCGAAACTCGAAGAATATTGGTCCCTATACTGGCATCTTGTTTGACATTTTCCACATATTTCTACAAGCAAATAAATACGTTAATGTAGAGTATGTTAATTTCGCTTTTTCCATTAAGAAATTTAGCCAGTAATGAATACGAAAGGAATGAGGAAAATTCACTAAACATTACTTTCCATCCTTCGGTTGAATTAAACAACTGCGAGAAACTAAGCTTTGGAATCTGATTTTCACTTCTGCTATAAGTACCTGTTTATTTTAATTTTAATTCAGTTCAAATGTGTTCCACTTATTTTAGTTCGGATGCTATTCTTGATTCATTTCAATATGTTTTCATGCAGGTTTAAATAGCTGAGGTTAATATAATTTCGAAAAAATGATGCAAAAAAATCACAAAATTTAATTCGTTTATTGATTTATTTTTTGTTAGGGCGGCAAAATTTCTAATAATATTTCAAAGCAATTTGTTACTTATTACTTATAATTATAATAATATTATATTATACAATTAGAATAATAGATTTAGCTCAGTTATTAGACAGAATCCATTTTCATCAATGGTCACTTTTAAGCGTTATTTTATTTTGACCTTAAAAAGTTAAATTATAATTGTACTTTCATTATTTTAGAAACATGTAATATTAGTGGATATAAACGATTTTGACTCATTAGAGTTATTTTCTTATCTTCATTCATATTCTTATTAAAGAGTGAATTTTAGTCCTACAAACAAAATTAGTCTACAAAATTACACTATGTGTTGTACTTTTATTGTCCTTTACTTTTGTCTAAAAAATAAAAAAGCAATTCGCGTAATTGGAAAACATTTAATAGCAGAAAAATAAAAACATTTGTTTTTTGGATTTAAAGTTTTATTAATCCGATAGATTTTTACTCTGATTTGGTTCTCATGCTTTTCTCAGCTAAAGTTAAACGCGTTTAAAAAAAATATAAAAAATATAAGACGTATTTTGGAAGATGTTGAAATTGATCCGTTTCCACAGTCGCTGATATAAAAGTATGTGAAGCAAAAAGAATACCTACTTTGCGTCATGGAAAATAATTCATATATGTACTTACTTAAATAGCGATATATAATACGATAACTTATATAATACGAATATGCAGAGGTTACGCCTTTTTCGAGATTTTGAGTTATTTAATAGTCTAGGCCAATTCTACTAAATACATCCAATCAAACAGTTACGAGTTACAAACTCGCGACATACAATTGGAAAAACATTCTAATACAATTAAATATTAAATCAAAAACAAGTTGGTGTAGAAAAAATTAGACTACAAGTTTCTTTTATGTAAAACTGAGTGCTAGAATTGTTTTTGTGTGATTCTATTAATTCAAGAATTGTTAATACCGCCGCTGCTTCAATGATTTTTCATTGAATATTAATTTCCGGTTCATGCCTAAGGAAGATAAACAGAAAACAGTAAGGTCGCTCGTATTTAAATGGGAACCATATATTTCGCAGTAAATGGTGCAGATACAAAACATATTTATTACTACTTAATAATATTGCACTTTATCCTGACTCGAAATGGGACTGGTATAATAAAACTAATCTCGTACCAATTTATTCTTCAGATAAGCTGGAGCACGTTTCATATTCCGACAATTTTGAATAAACTTTGTTGATTATGTGTTTTGAAAGACGGTTTTATTTGATAACATACCTGAACATTTAATTGAAAAATTTAAACTAAAGTCTGACAACTTAGTAGAAATTTTACAAATTAGCTGCCATCATTAGGGTATCTACCCTATACTACTGTGAGAAATAGCAAACACAATGGTATCTGCACTCGGTATCAACAAGATAAAGTTATTAGAAGATAATCTAAACAAAACAACCAATTGAAATTTTCATATCAAAAGACTTTTATGTATTGTAAACATTTCAAATTAACCACACCCCATTTAAATGTACCCAAGTCTTACCTGCCGATCAAACAATGGAGGATTGTCATTTACATCTGTTATTTCAACGGTAAAAGAGCAGACACCCTCCAGACTTGGTTCTCCCTGGTCAGTTGCTTTAACAGTAACAGACACGAATTTGCCATCATCTCCTTCTCGATCGAAAACTTTGTTGGTGGAAACTTCTCCGGTTTCTTCATCGACCGTGAACTTTGTGCCCTTTTGATTAGGTTGTTGCACAATTGAATATTTTACTTGACCGTTAACACCTTTATCTTCATCTGTTGCATGAACCTAGAAAACAAAACGATATTATTTTTTCGATTATCACTAATTTTTTATTTAATTTCCTATGATTAAAGTAGTTTTATTCCTGTGGATATCCAGTATGCGAAAAAAATGTTCTTTTATATACTTATACTTATTTGTGTGAACGTAAATGTGTATGGCTCGAACGGAAGGTTTTGATTTTATCACAACTTGCTATGAAACATTTTCCAATCACAAACTTACAGGTTGTTTTCCAGAAATATGAAATAAAATAATCCATAGCTATTTCTCAACAATCATTGAATTAAATATATCTACTAGTGGCTAAAAACGACCTTATTCTACTCGGGTAAGATGCTCACCTTAATAACAGGAGATCCGTTTGGAGCACCTTCCTCAACTTTCGGATAGTATGTTCCACAATCCTTGAAAATGGGTTTGTTGTCATTTACATCAGTAATGAAGACTACGACGACTGCTGTGCTCGTATGAATTGTGGAATCTCCATTTACGCAACAGGCTCCATCATCCATTGCAGTTACATTCAGTTCATACTTGTCCCGGTCCAGTGATATCGGTTTGGAATGAAGACGAATTACACCCGTTATTTCTTCGATAACAAATTGCCCTGAACTGGTTCCACCACCTAAAATTATTATTGTTATAATAAATTATAACATGTTTTTCAATTTAGTGTTCATTCAGATTTGGTGTCATATTAGTTCCCTTAGGTTTATTTTGCTTAGTTTTCCCAATCCTAATCCTACCATGCATTTATTATAAACAATGTGAATTAGTTCAACACTAATTGCACTATGAGAAAATCTTCTAGTGACTAAACTGTTCTAATTAGATAATAAAATTTGTACTTGAGTACAAATTTTATTATCTAAAATTTGTACTTGAGTGATTTGTACTTTTTAATATATTTTAGGCATTGGAAATGATACTTGGTCATATTGATGATCAAGTGACGACCGTTTTTAAGGGGACTCAACTTTGAAAAGTTTTTGTGCTAGAGTAACATTTTCGATGAAACTTAAAATAAGATAAAACATGTTCTAGATTGTTGTTGTTGTAATTTTATTAGCGAAAACAAACATAATAATAATTAGAATGGAGCCATGTAGGAGCGTATCCATTTGCAAACTTTTTAGGAGGTTAGTGTGTCAAATAAAAGGAAATTTTTTGCTTATATAAAGTTTTTCAAGCAAATTAGTTGTTGTCTATTTGATTATTAAGATGATTTTAATAAAAAGTTTAGTTTTTAAGGAAACAGCGCCAAACAATTCAATCTCCATATCAAAACTTAAAATTACATTTGAGGATGCAATCTACTCGTGCTTGCGAAACGTCAGGAAAAAATCAGGCATATCACATTTTTTAAACCATGAATCCCGTTTTTTGAAAATTGTTATACAATGTTTTGAATGTGAAATTCAATTTATCATTTTCAGTAAAAGTAGCTTCCACATTTCCACAATTAGACGATTTTCAAGTCCGAAATAAATTAATACTGTAGTAAATATTAAGTTTTGATGATGTAAAATGACAGCTAAAATATTGAGCACATTTCTTGTATCTAGCAAGCAACCAAACACGAATAGCTTTTAATGATTTTTTTAAGATAGAAGAATTTTTCAAAACACATCGCACACAATATGTATATAGCATATTTTTGAGTGCCTTGTGTTATATATAAAAATAGAAGCTTGTTTCAATCAATAGGCTCTGAGAATCGTACTAGAAGATCAGAATTGTTTTCCTACCCTAGGCACCGACTAAACCTGAGTCAAAAAAATCCAGGGTATATGTACGTAAAACTATTTAATAAATTACCTCCACAAATTAGACAAATTAAAAGTCTGGCTGTCTTTAGAAAAGAAATTAGAAAAGGGCTAGTCAGTCTGGAGCCATATACCCTGGATGAATATATGCGTATGTAAGTAAAAGTAAGTTACTGTTGCGTTATTCGGGATTAGTTGTTATTAGTTGTCTCTTTTTTTTGGAACATAAATGCTTTTGAATGCCTGTACGGGCTTGTTGACGTAATTTAATTTGTTATCATTATGTCGTCATCATGTAACAAGTAAATTGAATAAATTAAATAAATAAAATAAATAAATACTATTATTTGATAATGGCTCCAAGGTTGTTAATGGCTCCAAATCCTCTTCCTTGGGTAAAGTGCGGTTAAGACAAATAAGTGACCACTACAACTTMATTTCATAAGTTTTGGAAAAGTCTTCTAAACGGTTTTCTGCTTTATTATAATTTATAAGATAAGAAGCAACTTCAGGCWTTAATTTATTGAATAAATTATGTAATAAATATTTGGAAAGATGCAATATTATACAAGACCTACARGATGCACGGATGGCAGAAAAATGATTTGGTTTGAAAATTTGAAAAAAACCRAATTTGACTTGAACAGCTTTCGAGCATTACGTTTAAYACGCTGCCTATCCAGCAAGTAATCAAACAAARTTCGTGAAAGAAACGTATTGATTTTATGTCATYCTYCTTTCAAGCTAGACGCTCAAACTTAAATTTGTTGCAATCAAAGCAAAACCAAATCGAAAACCCATTTGCTTCTTTTTAAGAGGACATCATAAAACATGTGGACCTTTTTTTAACGTATCAAATAAAAAAGAATGAAAATTTGTATTGGCACGATACTTACATCATAAAACTGGATAAAATATAATTTGATCTGAATTTAACTTACCAACAAAACCAAAGCGAACATTGTCACCGTCCTTATCAGATGCAACTACGGTGGTTACCAACGTGTTTGGTCCAGCATTTTCATCCACATTTGGAGTGTATACTTGCTGCGAAAATTTTGGTTCTTCGTCGTTTTTATTCTTCGTGTAAACTCTGACCTAAATCCAGCAAAACGGTATTAATAAATATATTGGAACAAAGTGTTACTAATACCAAACTATAATAAAGACCATCAGATTTTTTATGTTTTCAATCAATAAACATGTGAAACATCGTAATTCCTACTTACAGTAGCCGTTCCTGTTTTGGATGGTTCTCCTTTATCTTTAGCGGTGACGGCAAATTCATAATACGCATTATTGTTGTCAGCATCGAGTTGTTTATTGTTGCTAATAATGCCACTTGGATCGACACTAAAGTGATCGTCGGATACTAAATATTCGATTTCTGCGTTACTTCCAGAATCGGCATCCATTGCTTTCACTTTCAAGATCGAAGTACCTAAACAAGACAAAAAAACAGACGTCTCAATATAGATCGGTAATTTTCGCGTCTCTAGAAAAACAAATTAGTTCACAGGATTTACCTGGTGGTATGTCTTCATCAATATTATGAGCTTGATAGTCGGGAAGCTCAAATTTAGGTGCATTGTCATTAACATCAGTTACTCTAATAGTGAGCTGGAATGTTTAATTAAAAATTAATAGAACTCCGCAATACCAAAATAAATCGAATAGTTGATACAAAAATGTAATGACACTATAATTATTTGTTTAATATCCAATATGGCTCTAAAATGCATTTACCCGTAATCAATATATTGCACAAAGTTAATAGCAAAATTGGTGCTGAACATCATTGAAAGGTACTTTTACTTTTAATAATACTAAATTGGATACTTAACTACAGTTATCGCACAATTACATATAATGAAAGTTGAAATCAATAAACCAAACTAATATTTAATAACAACAATGTCGTTGAACTGTAAAAAAATGCGAAACAAATATAATTGTTGGCAGTACGTATAATAAATGTTTTTTCTGCAAATGCACGTATTGTTTTGGTAATTATAAAATTCGAGCAAACAGTTACAATCGTTCTGTTTATTTAGATTCGGATATTATCTATCAATGCCAAAAGCAAATGGAACTCTAAAATGACTGAAATAAAAGGTTCAATATTATGTCCTTCGTAAGAAACTCGTCGCATCTTCATTTTATTTCCAATAATTTTAGATACGAGACAGCGAACTGCCTTTGTATCCCGGCGCTCTTCAAGACCAGATAACAAGAAATAAGCTGGAAAACTTTCGGAAAAATAAGGGCAATAAATAAAACGGATCCATCATACTCAGCACTTTCTCAACGTACTTTTACGAGGAAAAATACTACTAGAAACAGCGATATGTCGCTTATGAAATACTTTCAGGATTTATTAGCAAAACTAGCAAGCTTAAGTTTCGGTCCACTTAAAATGTTATCTGGATTTTTAGAACAAAAGGAGAAATTTTACCTTATCTTTGTTTTTCTATAAAATGTTAGCACAATTCTATAGGTACAGTAAGCTTCTTCATCTAAGATGTGTAATAGATTAATTTTGATGAAAGATGAAACTTTGCTTGCAAAAACAAGTTGCAATAATTGGAAGGTCACATTTTTATTATCATTTCGAGTGTTATATTATTGCAGGTCATTAAATTTATAACTAGTCTAAAACATCTTCTTACCTCTACAGAAGTGGAAAATCCCCCGGAATCCTCTGTTGCAGTAACAATCAATGAATAAACATGAGGCTGTCGAAGATCTTCAAAATCCAATTCCTTAGCTAATTTAACGATCCCAGAAGTAGGCCCAATATTGAAAGTCCCCGCTCCCTGCCCTTGAGCCTTGAGGGTGTAGCGGATTTCACGGTCAGCAAACGATTTGGCTTTTACCGAAATAATGCTATAAAATGCAGATTTTATAATAGAACACAATATTATTCGATTTGATTATAGGCTACGTTTTAATATTTAAATAAACGCGCCCACTTTACCAACCCTGTACACCGTTTACCCTCCATTACACTTTATATAAGCTATTGTCATGTTATTAAGTGAATAAGGTTTGAAAGTATGGCAAGTTAATAAAAAAATAGAGCGCAATTACTATGAAACCAAGGCAAGTAAGTTTGTTTAAAGCAATAATAGTTGTGTAAAAGTAGAATCTTTAGAAGCAATAAACAATTAAATTAACGTGAAGAGAAAATAACTGTTTCTAACTGGGAGGATACAGATTTTGACGATATTTGTATAAATTTAAAAACAAAATAGCGCCACCATCAATAAATACTCACTCTGAATCCTTTTTCTGATTTTCAGGAATTTCCGCTTCATAACTCTGCATGTAGAATTGAGGAGCTCGTTTTCCACCCACAATCGATAGACGTTCTTCCGGAGTGGCTTGAAATCTTCGATCATCTAATCGACCATTCTGATCTTCTGCCTTAACATAAAGGACGTATTCCATATCAAGTTGGAACAGGTCCGTGCCTCGGGTTCGAACAACGCCAGACCTGCAATAAAAAAATTATATTCCATTTATTCCAAAAATGTGTACACAAAATTATACGATTTTCAAAATTATACGAAAAAGTAAATTGACCATTTATTCCTAAAGATGATTTCCTGTAAGAATTCGTCCAATAGTTATTCAATGAACTATTAAAATATGTATGGTTTTTTAGTGATTTCTAAATTAAATTACGAAAAAATGACAATAATAATTAATTCATATATTCAAATACAGCTGAAAACAAAACTGAACAAATGTATTGAAAGATTTATATTCCACATTGTACTATGTCTATGTACAAGTTTTATTGTTAGTTTTCCAAATTTTTTCGTTGGATTTTCATACTTTTATAAAATAGGGATACTTTTAATAACACAATTCAAAGCGAAAAAGATTAGTCATTTTATAATGAAGTGCTGAAACTTCTTCAAAATAAGTAACACTAATAAGGCAACTTTGATCTTTGAAATTGTGTTAATTGAATTATGCATGTTATTTGAATTTTTCCTAGAATTTTAAACTTAATCCTTATCGCTGTGACTCTGTATCATTATTTTCATACGTTCAAATAAACGCGCAAGTTCAAATACAAACTACTTCAGTTCATTAATATAATGAATCAAAGTTATTAAGTTGCCACCTCTGGATTATCTAGAATCGATCTAAAAAATACTAAAATAAAATTTTGTATTATTTATTTTGTTCTCTTTAGGGTTTCTCTAATTAATTATTTATTCAAGTTATATATTTAATTACGGTACGGTAAACAGATCTAATTAAAGGATAAGGTTCCTTTACTGTCTGTATACGTTAATTTGATTATTAAGTTATATTCATAACGCTAAAGAACTTAAGTGGGTTTCTGTGCTTCTCAATACTTCTGTAATGTCTATAATACCCTACAAATTCCTTGCGTTTGTCAAATAAATAGTCACAAGCCGTATACCCTGACTGCAGCAAACTAAATTATCAAATTAACAAAACAACTTAATATCATGCCACATAAAAAAACGATTTAAACTCCGGTAGCGAGAAAAAATATTGTTATGTGCAGAATAAATAACCGTGATCAAAAGTGCGCATATCAATGTTTTCGGGAATTTTATTTTAGCGTTATTGCTAATTGGAAAGCGAACTACAATATTTCATTATTATTCAGACACTGTCTGTATTTGAAGTTAAATTAAATTATCGCTATTTGATATTAAAAAGCCTTATTTACATATGTGTACATACATGCATATTTATTCTACATGAGTTATTTTAATTAAAGGCAGCTCTGTCCCGTTGATAAAGCTATAGGTTTCGAAATGTTAATTCGCGCCGTATATGCAAACAAGGAATTTTTGAAATATTTTGAAATCCACAAATGCTACACATGCTAGTTGGAATGAGTTTACTCTAGACGTCATGCAACTTATAATATAATAATGTTTTAATGCTAATTATAAATTAAACATCCATTTATCTCAGTTGGACTGCATGTACAGAGTTGGTCCGAATATCTAAATAGCTTTCCGCTCGTATCGTTCTAAAGCCACAAAAAAACTAAACGCAAAAGTAGTAAGCACACTGTTCAATCACAAGAAAATATTATTGGGGAAAGAAAACAATTTGGCAAAGTTTGAAACGTTAATAAATGATAAAATTTAAACGGAACACCCTAATGTTATTCGATTAGTGGATTGGCTATTCACTTTGAATTACAAAATACCTAACATTTTGAGAATTTGGTTTAAGAGTTTATGACATATTTGCATTTAAAAGTCGTGATTATATTTGCTTTCCAAATCACACTTAAAGAAATTTTACATAAAACATGTTGGAAATAACATTTAGGGGGCTTTGGGTTTTCCGGGCTTTGGTGCTCTTTAAATATTTATCGAAATTCTATTTTTTGAAAGTTTTGCATGATTTTTTGATTCAGAAATTAAATTTTCTGGCGATTCAAAAGTAGCCCAACAGCTTGGAGTTCTTTAGCAGCTGTACTAATAAACTTACCCAAAACTGTCTAAATGTACGGACCAACTCTTTACATAAAAATAGACTAAATTTTAAAGCCAAAATATTTTGAAAGTGTCTAAATATTTAAATATATCTCAATAAGAAATGGCAATTAATGATTTAATATCATAGTAAATTTGATGAATTATTATTTGCATCCCCAATACGTTTGAAATAAAAAAAATGATGTCCCGTTAAATGTTTATAAATACGAAATCAGATTATAGTGATAACTAGATAAGAAATATCCAAACAAATTGGGTGTTACAATATTATTATATCGAGTTGTATCTGCCACCACAAACGTTTAAAAGCACCCTAGGGGATTTGAAATGTGATCTTTGACTGGATCATTTACATAGGAACAGAAGGATAACATTATGTGGCACAAAGCTTTATAGGATTCAACAATTTATTAAATAATATGCAAAGGTAGAATTGTATTACAACTAAAATTTCCTTCCTTGAATAGTTACATTTTCCAATTTGCTGTAATTTACAGTTCTGAGTTCATTATATTTTTAGAAAAAATAAAGCTAAGCATTTCGTTCAAATATTAGGAAAAGCGTAGAAGTTACTATAATAATTAATTACAGGTGCTATAAACTTGAAAGGTACTCAAATTCTCCACATTTGCGAAATCAAAAAATACAGAAGAACTAAAAACTTGATAAAATAATTTTATTGGTGAGTTTGGTACTTGCTTAAAAGTATAGGAAATATAATGGGTATTAGGTGTCTATACAGATATTACAGAACACAGTACGCTTTCTTACTACTAATCTGAGATGTTTAAGTTGTTCATTATTTTTATTTTGCCCACCTCTTTAAGTCTACATTAAATTCCATCCACTACCACTTCTGAATCACTGCAGTTTTAAGATTCACTAATTTTTCGCTTTTCCCAGAAGTTTTTCACACACCTTTAAATATGTTTTCTGCTTTCAAATATTGCTATACTTCAGAAAGTTAATGAGAAAATCAAAATATAATTAAATATTAGAGAAGCTAACTGGATGCAAAAATCTACAGGTCTGTTTTTCTAGTGGCATACTCCCCTTTTACTCCTCGAGGTTTTTTGTGGTGCGCCACTGACTTTGTCCGAACAAATTTTTGCATTTGTTGTCCAATTCAAGAATTTTCTATCTCTTGCAGTTTTTTTGTATTTTCCTTCGTTTTCGGGTTATTTATTTTATCATAGTAGGCTGATCCGTTTCCTTGTACTCATAAAGCTTTTTTTCGTAAAATCAAGCTGTTTTTTATAAAAGTGGCTGGAAATTTTGCATTCAATGAGCAAGTTGATATGCTATTAGTATTGGGTTTTGTGAGAGTAACTGCCGTGTAGTACCGAAGAAGAATTGCAAATCGTGTGACACCAAATCGACAAAGGTTAGCTAATGTTGAACGGAAAGCTCGGCAGACGAGGTAAATATTCCCGTTAAAATCACATATTACAACAACCCATCATTACCAAAGAGAATTTTAAATTAATGTGTGGGGCGGAATCGTTGGGCGATATTTGGTTAGGCCAGTTACCTAGGTTAGGTTAGTTTCCTAATCCTTTGAACGATGCAAGTTATTTGCTTTTCCTGCAAACCACTCTTCCAGAGCTATTTTAAGATTTGCGTTTACAATTGCGACTTGACATGTGGTATATCCACAATGGTGCGCCTCCCCATTTCGCTATGAACATTCGTGATTTTTTGAATCTACAGTAAATAATTGCCCGCAACTCTAGCCACCGCGATTGCCAGATTTGAATAAATGTGATTTTTTTTTCTGTGGGGGACTTTGTGGGACCGGGAAGAATTTATATTGAAACTACGGAAGATTTATGGAATCGCATCAGTAATAAATGTACCATTACAAAAAATGACATTTAATTATTGTATAAAGTTGACTGTAATTTTCGGCGAAGGGTCCATTTATGCTTAAGAGAAAACGGAGGCGATTTTGAACAGCACCTTTAATTTATTAAATTAAAATTCATTAACTTTACTTATTTAATTTAATGAAATTAATTTCATTATAAATTGAAATATTCGTTACATTTTTGTGAATTTTTATTTGGATTAGCTCCGATAAACCGATAACCGAACAGCCGATAAACCTCAATTATTGTAAATTAAATTGCAGTAAAAAATTAACTTTAAAGTTAACTCGTCAGCCATCCCTAATTCAACTTCAAAGGGTCTAAACAGTAGCCTACGTTCAAAATTTGCGCAAAATATCTCATAAACTGTAGGAGTTAAGAAGGAAATGCTAATTTTTCCTAAATTTTAACTAAAACTAAAATGGCAACTCGACTTGGTCTGAGGTCCTCTACACGTCCCTGCTCTGTGTCCATGAGGTTGTGAATCAACCTGTATATACTTTGGTCGAGAAGGCTGTTAAGTACCTCGAACATTATATTTTTCTATACTTCGAAGCAAAGATTTGGAATTAGATAAATTAAAACTGCAGTTAACGAAACCTGCATAATATTCGGGCCTCGTCTTCAAGGAACTGCTCGCATAACTTTCCAGTATATACTTTGTTGGACATTCCTTGTTACCTCAATGTATTTTAATTCAGTAACATACTGAATAGCCGCGGTGCATTTCCTCTCTTACAAGTACGTAATCGTTATTTTCAAATAACTATCAATTAGCTGCAGCTGGTAATTTTAATTTGTTTAAAAATGCTCAAAGCGCTCCAATTCTCTCAATCTAGATCTAGATAGGCTAGTATCAAATAGCAAAAAAGTACATCCATTTTACCACGCATATGTAACAGAATTTGCAAATTAATGAAATACATGTATCATCAAAATTAGTACCTTTCATCAACTTCAAATCTGCCCCCAGTCCTGTCTCTGACGATGAAATAATGAATATTGTGATCAGTATCCGGATCTCTGGCTTGGAGTGTGAAAACGGGGGTGTTTGCGGGTGCATTCAACTGTACCACAGCTTGCATGGGAAGTGGACGATTAATAAAATAAGGGGGTTCATCATTGACGTCACGAACGTGAATAATAACGCGCTGGTTGTCTGTATCTGTAACAAAAAATAAAGACTTATTAAATTAAAAGTGCAGTCATCGTCGAGAAGAAATATAGAAGCTCTGGCTTCTTTTAATATATTTTCTTGAGAAGCTTCCTCCCGCATTGGAAAGTTTATGTTTCCAAGAAATGTTTACTATTAAATTAAAATGCATATTTGGATAAGTTTTGTACATATTGGGCCCTATCTTTAAGCAGTATGTTAAACGTTTAGCTTCGAGCGTCTAAACATTTAATAAGGACAAATAGCAAATTTTTATCGAACGTTGATAATTCGTATTTGATACTATATTTATAATTGATATTTATAAATATATCCGAGAGGCGTAGAGACATTTAAAAATAGAAAGATATAGATAAAAGTTTGTCCGTATGGACAGAACATAATGCCATGTTTCACTTCCTTCATGTGGATATATATTTCATACATTTCTAAGAAAAATATTTGTATTCTATAGTTAATCCCAGCTTTAAAAATGAGTTATTTGCCAATATATTAATAAAATAAATGATACTTCGTCATTTTTCGTTCTGGCGTTCCTTTTTAGGGAAGTAAACTAAAAACATTATTCGCTTGTTTTAACACCATGGACAATAAACTATACTTACGAATCAAACTCAAAAAGTTCATACTTAAAAAATCGCACTAAAAAACGGTTTTCCTTTGCATTAACTTTGATTTAACAACTAAAACCCATCTAATATTGTGTGACATCCAAGCATTTCTTAGTATTTTTAACTTATTCATTTAAACCTGCAAATACAGTTATCATATTTTCTTATTGCAAATGAGGACCTTACATGAATATGTCAAGAAATATTTATCCCGCATTATAAGCATTAGAGTCGAATTTATGAATGCTCAAAGTACTTTGCATGTAGATAGCGAAGCATTTTTGGAATTTCGTTTTCATTCGCTTTAATTGTTTGTTAATTTTGCATTGACATCTTATCATGTTACTACCTTACTTATTTCTTTATTACGTATTTTATATGTAGATGCATTAGTCGTAAACCATATCCAACGCTCCACATAAATGAAAATAAATGCTCTTTTCTCATATAGTAAGTAAACATTTATAATTACACAATCTTTTTAACAATAATAAATATCACAACATATTTTCAATATAAATGCATATCTAACAAATTATTTCTGCTTAAATATATTCAAAACACGTCCGATTTTATCAGGGCAGCCCTAATAGCTTAACACACGTTGTGAATGTTAACAATGCAGGTAAAAACTTTCGTTGATTAAAAGTTAGTTTTTTACACCCTTTCCTTCTTTAGCTACCCTTTCTTTTCAACCGTATTTAATTGAAAGGACATAAGCGAAGTGTAGTTAATTAGGTTATACCGTTATAAACAATGTGCATGTTCAATTAGTAAGCTGGCTTTAAACATTGCAGTATATGCAGAAAGTAATTTGATGCTGGAACGAAACATATTCGCAATCTTACAGGGTCGGAATTTTTTAGATCACTCACCCATCAATCAATAAATTGAAAAACTGTAAAAAAACAGTCGTGGCAGTAGATAGTAAAAGCTTTAGCGACCCATAATAAACATTTTTTCTGAACCATTTGCTATGCTCCAACCCTTTTCTAAATTATATCAGACAAAGTCCTATAATAGCAGCCCTCAGCAGACCTTTTTAAAACCTTAAAAACTGACGGTTCACATTTCCGGTCTTTTATATGGGGTCAAACGGTGAGCTCGAATTAGTTAAACAGGGGTTGAAATCGCAACCAAACACCTGGGGAATAAAGAGCTTTAGAAGTAACTCACGTGCCACCGTTTAAATTGTTAAATAATGTTTTGTGGTAAGAAAAGGTCCTTAATATTCCCCATTAACATACCTGTCCGATGTAATATATGGAGATATAAACCGTTACAGATTGACACTACATAAATTAAATCTTGTGCGTTTCCTTCATTTGTACAGGGTTGGCCATATTGGACATTTTTAAATGGAAACTCCTATTTTAATTCCAGATAGGCAAAAACTGATGGCGGTGCCTGAGCCCATTGAGTGTCCAATTTAAAAATGATTTTTTTTTTATTAATAACTAGGAAAATATTTCCTTACCGCAAATAAAACATTATCGGATACTTCGTGAAAACATGCTTTAAAAGTGTTTCTGAAGAAAGTTTAAAAATCACAGAAAAAGAGTTAGAGAGCATTTACAAAATTGCAGATTTCTAGAAAAGACCCTGTATCTCTAAAATTGTTAGAGATATTGACATACGGGTTTCGTGATTAATTTTGTCATAAAAATCGAGGCTCAGACACCGACATCAGTTTTGTTTAAGCGGTATCGAAATAGGAGTATCCATTTATGTTCTCGATTATGTTCCCCCATGCTATTCCAGGACTTGTTTTTTTAGTTTAATTTTTGGTGACATACTTTTTGTTATATTGGCATTAAAGCTTTCGAATACCCTTCCCTGGATAGAAAAACCCATTGTAAAGATACTAACGTAATAATAACTTAAAAATTAATTGTTGTTCAAAATTGTAAAAAATATGTAAATAATAAAGTTAATTTTACACAGCGTCATATCTTTTACCCAAAATAAACCAAACTCCTGAACATTGTCCATCTTAGATCTATAGCCGTAACGTTAGTACGTAACGTAACAATTATTTTCCTCTTTAGATAATTTAATAAAAATGAACTTCAAAGCTATATTTTACAACGCAACAACACATATACTTACATTTCAGTCCTATGGGAGAGCCAGCAATGAAAAAGAAAAAAAGAATTAATCTTGGTTCAGCGTGAAATACAATGGTGCATAACAATTAGGTTAATTTTTTCCAGTTATCCAGGAATTTTTGGCCCGGAAAAATAAAGAAAATCGTTTAAATAAATGCAACTGGAACTAATTTTAAGTTGCTATGTTTT